ATTGAAAAAAAACGTTTGAACAGTATGTTTTGAACAGTTGATTACCCTGAACTTTAAGTATAATTACACTGAAAAACCAAAAAAAAAAAAAAAATAATCGTTTTATTTAGATTATGTTGCTTTCATAATCGTTGCAAGCTAAAATTGTAATTTAAAATATGATTTAATTGAGCAGCCCTAGTATTCCTTGAAATGTACACCACAGCATCCTCTTAGGACAATTAGTCATTGTGGCTTGGGGCTTCCTCTTTAGATGAATTATCTTCTGTCTGTTGCACTCCCACTCTTTGTGTGCCCTCTTGTTAGACTAAGAAATGCATAAAAAATGACATTGCATGACTAACAGTGCAATAGATAATGAGTGCAGCATAATACGGCATTATAACGACATTGCAATTATTACAAAGACTGGCAGAAAGCAACCAACCATTTCAAATTCATTATCTCAGTTGCCTCCTTTCTATATAACTTGTGTCTTCCTCCCTTGTCCTCCCCCTTCAGCACAGATTAACTCTCTAATAAATGGCTCCTTTGGAATGAAAGCCCTTTGATGTGTGGCAGGGAAACCCCCTTCATTAAATCACCATGGCACGTAATCACTTTGGGCCAGATCAGGTGGAAGAGTGTGCTAACACTTAACTTTCCTGTGTTACATATTTATCTTCCTCTAACATGCTCTATTTTGTTTCCTAAAAAAGAGCTGGAATGAAATTAGGAAGTTGTTGGTCATGAGTTCAACGATTTGTCAGAATTTCTGCTGAATTATCTTGGTTATTATAACTGATGATGTATTTCGGAGCTGTGTTCCCTCCATGCTTTCATTTGTATTTCTAAAATCTTCCCAAGTGTGTTGTTTAAAAACAATATTGGGACCATAACAGTGTGTCAAAGAATAAATTAACTTAACTTTCTGTCCTTCTTCCTGTGTTTCCGCAGTGAATGAGTATGTGTTCATGGTCCAAGCCAGAGGGATCCAGATCAGAGAGAACGTGAAGAACATCGGGGCTCAGGTTCTAGAGCAGGTGGTGAGAGGGGCTTACAGCAACAATGGCACAGGTACAAATATACACAAATTCATTCACTGGTAGTGGTAATTAATATGCTAGCTATTTATTTATGATATGTATGCTTAAATAAAGAGTGGAAAGAAAAGTAGCTGTTCTAGCCTTACTTTTAATCATGTATATAGCTTATGCAGCAGTGAAAGGAGCAAAACAATGTAAGAAAGCATTCAAACAAAAAGGATAGACTACCCAGTTAGACAACTGCTGATAAAGACTTGATTTATACGCTTCTGATTGTGATTTTATGATTATGTCTATTGTATGTGTGTGACTCCAGATTATGTCTATGACTTCAACATGAGTGAGAGTGACGGTCCTCCCCCCACATACCTCCCAGAGGGCTTTACCTACCTCCCTTCTCAGGTTTGCCCTCAGAGGCTGTCCTCCATGAGTAAGTACACTGTAAATGATATGATGGAACGTTTTAATTTGGCTGATCATGTATGGTACCAAATAGGAAAGAATGTCAGTCATTATCCTAGGTTGACCTTTTCGTAAAAAAGCTGTGTTCTTGGCCTTTACAAAAGATTCCCTTAAGTGAACTTTACTGTGCTGCCATGAATATGTCTTCTAAAAATAAGTAGTGAATTGGTTGAGAGACCTCGCATTTCTTTTCAGCTTTGAGAGTCGATGCGTGCAAATATCTTGTAATGGCACAGAATTGCTTCACTCGATAATTCAATCTGCCCGATTGTTGAACTGTGAATGCCTTTGACAAGTCTTGTCCCATTCCCTCCAGTCTTGTTCCTTTCACTCTCCATCTTTTAACTTCTTTCCATTGTCTTTAACATTTCCCTTATCTTATCCTCTTCCTCATTCCATCTGTACTATTTCATCCTGTTCACATTCACACCATGGATTTCACTTAGTCTATTCCTCACCATATATTATTTTCTCTGACTCATACAATGTGCCTCTCTTCCCCCCCCCCCACACACACAGAGGGCAGGCTAGAGGTGAATATGAGTGAAGTGTCTTTGGAGGATGTGGAGAGGCTCTTGCTGCAGGGAGAGCCTCAGATGGCCCCAGGAGGCTACTGGAAGCCCAAAGACTGTGTACCTCGCTGGAAGGTAAGTGTGGATGTGATACAGGATCTGATAACAGAAAAGCACTGTTGTATACATACACGGGGGGAGAGTGGAGCACACTGCAGATGCCCTCATACAGGGCATGATGGGTCATGACTTGATTTAGTATGACAAGGATCTAAATCTCAAACCAATCCAACATCTGTCAGGATAAAGGGTTTATCTATCTGACACTTAAAGGTCACCTATTATGCAAAATCCACTTTTTCATGTCTTTTATACATAAACATGTGTCCCCTCTGTCGAAAGAGATTCTGAAGGTTTCAGGAAAAAAGATTTGCTCACTTTTTCTCCTGATCCATTTATATAAAAACCTGTCTGAAAATGAGCTGATCAGATTTTGGCCACTTTATGATGTCATAACGATTTTTTGGCTTGTGTAACCATTAGCCAATCACCAACCAAGGTAACACTCGCCCACCTTATCACCTGAATCTCCTCCTAGAGCACCATTGTGTTCTTTTTAAGCAAATATCTCTCAGAGGGGCGTGGGGAGGGGCTCCTTATTTTCATCTAAAGTAACAGACAGAGAATCAGCACTTTAGAAACAGGGCTGAAACAGAGGGGATTATGGGATGCTCCAATGAGTGATCTGTTTGGTGTTTCAGCCACTTCAGAGACATGTTTAGTATATATCTGAGAACTATAATATATTGATGGAAATCAGTATAATAAGGGACCTTTAAATACAATAACGCACATGTTGACTGAAATACCCACTAAGTAAGAACAAGAAGCAGGCAAAATGAATCCAACCATTTCTATGTGCTTTGCAGTACTGTTTCATTCTTGCACCCTACTACAGTGTGTGCTCTTTCTCTGCCCAACAGAGCAAGCTTTCCTGCCATCTGTGTGTCTGTCTCACATTCACTTGCCCTGAGGGGCTGTGACTGACCCTCTTTCTCTCTCTATCGCTCTCTCTCTCCGTCCCTCTCTTTTATTAGCCAGCAATATCTCGATCATCTCCTTAGTTCCTCTCTTAGCCACTCATTGTTTTCCATTTCCCTTGCATTGTGTTGCTTCCTGTGACAGTTTGATTTTTAGTGAACTTCAAAAGAAATTTAAATGCAGGAACTGTCAAAGCTAGGAAGTAAACACTTTTGTTTCTGGTCACACAGCTCCTTAGTGCTTCTCTGCTTGATGCATGCCAGCTCTCACTGTGGAAATGAGAGTATTTATGGAAAATGGTGGTTTTTGGTGCAGTCTTTGCCCTTACCAATTATAGCTCTCAAAAACATGTTGTGCCATAGTTAACTATGTTGAGCAGACCAGGCAGCGTAGCATCTCTGTGTCCCAATACATTTATAAACATCTTTGTGTTTTTTTAACATGTCTTAAAAAATTACATTTCATCCTGTATAAATTGTATTATAATCCATTTTTTTGTCCCTTAGGTGGCCATCCTAGTCCCATTCAGGAACCGACATGAACACTTACCCATTCTGCTGCGACACCTGGTGCCAGTGCTGAAAAAACAAAGACTCCAGTTTGCCTTTTATTTCATAGAACAGGTATGCACACACCTATTCACAGTCATTGGCAGGGATTGACAGATTCTCCTGTGTTGAGTCCAAACAACTGCATTAAGTGATTCTACTTAGGTGGTGAAATGTTTGTGATTTACACTAGATAGAGGGTTGAAATGGTTCCATGTAACAATATTTTGCACACTAGCCTACAAAAGTACTCTCTTTTTTTTCTTTAGGAGGGCACAGAGCCATTTAACCGAGCCATGTTGTTCAACGTGGGCTACACAGAGGCCATGAAGGACCTGGACTGGGACTGTCTTGTCTTCCACGATGTGGACCACCTCATGGAGAATGACAGAAACTACTACGGGTGCACAGACATGCCCCGACACTTTGCTGTCAAACTTGACAAGTACTCCTACATGTGAGTCCTGAATCAGTCTCCATGGGCATATACAGTAAATGTCTTCCTTCCTTATTCTGAGTTAATTGAGAGTAATTTCCCTCTTAGGCTTCCGTATCATGAATTCTATGGTGGTGTCAGTGGCCTGACGGTGGAGCAGTTCAAAAAGATTAATGGATTTCCTAATGCATTCTGGGGCTGGGGAGGAGAGGACGATGACCTCTGGAACAGGTAAGGGGAACACACACACACACACACACATGCACAAACACACACACAGCTGCAGCATGAGCTTTTCAGTACACACACACACAGCTGCAGCTAGGGCTTTCAGTATCATTGACTTTAGGTATGATCAAGCTATGGGATGGTCAGTTTGCATACAACAGGTTTTTGTAATCGTTTTTGTATTTTTTCTTTTCATTTGCCTTTGCAATTCGACATTGTTGTTGATCCTCCGCTCCACCCACACAGCTCACTGGCAGCTGTACACACTTAAGCCTCTCTGTATACACCACCAATTCTCATTGTTTCAGTATTTAATGATCCCTTTTGTGAGCATGTTGTAGAACCTTTTCCTCTTGTATTGTTTACATACCTATATCATGTTACTCTTACGTATAGTATGACAATTCTTTCTGTGGTAATATGACGATAAAAGCCATAACTGCACCGCTTGTTCTGCCCGGCTGTGTACACTTTGGATAAATGATCCTTAAATATGTTTGTTTAGGGTGCGGTTTGCCAACTACTCAGTAAGTAGACCGCATGGAGACCAGGGACGCTATAAGTCAATTCCACATCACCATCGTGGGGAAGTCCAGTTTCTAGGAAGGTGAGTGTTTACGCGCACACGCATACACACACACACACACACACACACACACACACACACACACACACACACACACACACACATACACATACACATACACATACACATACACACACACACACACTTTGGTAAAAAGTGATCATTTCAATAAGGCTTAGACTCATGTGGTGTAAGCCAGTCACGTGAAAGTCCAGAGCGCTGACTTTAAGATAATTCTAACTCTTTTAAAGACTTTGCATGTGATTTGCTTGTATGATTCAGGGGCTGGAATTCCAATCAGGCTCTTTCTATTCACATCCTGAGTAACTTCAAATATTCCGAAGAATAAATGTTTCTTTCATTTGTTAATGAGATACTTAGTAGATACTCCAAATATTTTCTCCAAAATAAATGTGCCTTTGTTAATCTTATACGACTCTAATGGAGTCTATTTATGTTCACAACTTGATCATCGCATGAGATTAAAAAGCAAACTGTCACTTTCCTGACTAATCCACAGACAATGAGGCTTTTATTCCAATGTACCTACTAACAGTGTGTAGGATGATAACACCTTTGTGTAATGAACTCTTGTCTAACACTCAATGTAACTTTTCTAACCAGAACCTTGAACTTCTTTGTATTGCAGTGGGTTGCATAGTCTCCTCTCCACACCTTGTTGACATTTTGATTGTTTGTTCTTGCAGATATAGTTTACTTCGCCACTCAAGGGAGAGACAGAAAGTGGATGGTCTTAACAACTTAAACTACTCCCCCATAGTGTCCAGGAGGCCTCTCTTCACCAACATCACGGTCAGCTTGAGCAGAAAGCTTGCACCCATAGATGACTACTGATCTAGGATCAGCTGGACTGCAAAACACCTGGGAATCAAAGTCCTCCGGGACATCAGCCATATCTCACCAGTTGCAGCACTGCTTAGGACTTTTAAGTTTATTGATTCTTTGCTTTATTTCTTTGTTTGTATGCAACAAAAAAAGGAGACTCAAATAAGTATGTTGGATAAATGATATACAGAATCAAGGATAAATGCTGCACTTGCTTGTGCCACAGTCCATCACTCCTCTCATCTCGGCTTATCTAGTGTTCAGTCTCCACATGCCTTTTGCACCATTTTGGCCTTCAGCATCCATTCCTTCATTCATATCTTTTTCAGTTAACTATGAGCTCAGCCCTACATTAGTGTGCTTGTTTATCATAATAGGCCATGATACATACACACACACATACTCACGCAACACTTAAACGTGCTGACCTGGTCCCTGAGGCTTTTCTTTTTTCTTTGCTCTTGCACTACGGTACTTATTTTCAGAAATAAAGTAAGCCTGTGAAATCATTTGCATGCACACACGACCACACATCAACTTTTAATCAGAGTGGACTCCTGCAGCTGGTACTGCAGAAGGTTTGCCAAATCTGAAAAGAAACTTATATTAAGCGTAAGTGTTTTCTTTCATGTAAACTGTATGTGAAATAGTTTATCCTAACTTTCGAGAATATGAATACCTTTATCATCTCTCATGAATTTAATTTTGTCTTGTGAACGTACCATTTGAAGACTGTAACGTTAGTGTTTGCATAGTTGCATTGGATGTTCTAGCTGCCTGCAAGTGGCTGTATGTTCATCCTGTTAGCAATAAGCTGTAATATCAGACAGCAGAACTTACACCTGACTTCCTCCTGATACAGATGCAATAGCACGGATGCTAGCATGCCCTTATTGGACGATAGAAAAGGAGTGGCTGTGTATGCAAACTTCACTTTCACAACATCTTTGCCTAAGCAAACATGCCATCCTTGTCAGTGTGTTTGTTTGTGCTTGTTTATAGGGTAGGGAGAGCTATGCAAATGGCCTGTATGTTTCCTATTGTCAGTGTAAGGTCTTCAGGGTGACCTCCAGGAGGCTTCATCCCTGAAACTGTGACTGACTGACATTAGACCTCACTTTGTGTGCTAAGTGCTAGTCCAAGCCAGGGAGAGATAAACAGTTGTTATTTTTAGATCCCACATCCTTGATGTTGACTCACCTTCTTTCTTTTACAAAAGAGAATTGGTGGTAGAGAATACTTGATTGCGGTCACTCTCACTTGTGTTTACAGAGGCTTTCGCTTTTGTTATTTTTCAGATTGTCTAGTGTTTGTTATACTGTTAGCCAGCCCTGCTTCACTTTGGGTGCTGTGAGAACTGTATCTCTTCAACAACTAATCTGTGGCTGCCTTTATTTTTTTAACTGATACTTCAATTCACTTTTCTAGACATGGCTATAGAAGAGCAGATCTGCTTATGTTAGATGTCTCGTGATAAACCACTGATTAGCTTTGTTTGCGCTTCTTTGAGTCAGGCTTCGGCCAGTGTGATTGTAAGTAAATCAAACTTCAGGATGTTGGTTTCAAGTCAAGTTTTCCAGTTGGTAGCATGCAGCCTAACACTGTGCATTGAGACAGACTTACAGCACTCTGGCAGTACATAGCAGTTGCTAAAATGTTGCTTCTCTAATTTGTTAGTTTGACAGTGTTGATTTTGAGTAAAATATCCCAATACTGTAAACGTAGTTCCTTTTAAAATAAACTAAGAAAAAAAAAAACATGCAGACACTCTACTCACTGTCTGTCCTCTGGTCATGCAGCTACTTCATTTCACACAAATCGCCTTGTATGCATTTCTTACGATGTATCTTTTGGGGGAAATGTGGTTAATTGACAAACTGTGTTTCCACAATGAAATAAGAAGTAAAGAGGCTGGACCTCATTTTATTTATTTGATCTTTTATGGATTATTTTCTGTAATTGTTTTTTTTTTGTCTTGCGGTTGATGTGATGATTTAGTAGGTGACAAAAGACAGACTGTGTTAGATGCACTGAAACTTGCAGTTATGTGTATTTATGTGGGATTGTGAGGCACAGGTCTGTGTAAAAGGGGAGATGTTCCATTTCATTTAGATGCGGATTTACTCTCCAGAAATGAATAGCTGGTGAGATAGAACAGGACCTGTAGCCTGGTGTGTATTAATCTGCTAGACAGACGGGTTTGAAGAGGCCATTTTGTGTGACAACCACAGGAAGAGCAAGACACCTAATCAGAAAATGCTATCAGTCGTTGCCTTTCACTGGGCACCTCCTTTTATATTTATCGATAATCAATGGTGCTGACCTACCAGAGCTCCCTTTGTGGGAGTCTCTCTCTATGTGATTACTGAAACCAATCTTAACATCAGAAAGACTAATATCGCGAGGAAAAATCACCCCTTAATCCTGCCTATAGGTGGCGTAAATATTCAGTATTTTTACACCCACACGTTCTGCCTTTTCATCCTGCCAGGTGAAGCAAAATTGTGTTATTGTTGCACTGGTTAATCGGCCAAAAGAGACGTACGTGTTTACCTCCGAGCCAATCACTCGGGATGTGCCCAGTGGAAGTCATGAACAGTAGCAGCGTTTGTGTTAAGTTTGACTTTTCCACGTGTGTTTGATTGAAATGGCTAAACCTTTCCGAGGTCTAACTGTCATCCATCTAAATGTTGAGATGTATTGTTTTTTATTTTGTTTTTCAGCACTGATATGAAAATGATTTATAGTGACCCAGTTGTGAACAACTCGCAGGTTCCTTTTTTTTTTCTTTTTTTAAAGTTATTGACACAAACATGATACACTGTATATTATATTTGATTTTGTCTTTGCTTTAAATTAAAAG